AACAGAAAGAAGAAAAAACAATGTATCCAGCCTCTGGCCTCTATGTGGCAGTGTAACTGCTTTTCCTCCTTTTGTTACAACCCTCATTATAATCCTTCTTATTATCTTCTTTATATTCCAAGATTAAGAAAGGAAAAACCCCTTAATCCAATCAACCCAATCAAGCATTATAAAAAAAGGAAAATTTTAATCCATAGATGTAAGCAAAAGTGAAAAAAAGAAGAAAAAATTAATCCATTCAGTTTAAAAAATAGGGAGCCTTTGCAAAAATTCCATCCATGAAAAAAAATAGAAACAGGATAACACACTAAGTTTAATGTGGATTAATTTTGTCACTTACAGTCTTCTATCTTCAATTTTAATTTAACTTAATTTTTTTGCGGGGGTAATCTGTTTTTCTAATAATAACATTTCCTCACCAATTCGACACACTTTCTCTTTTCGCTTTCTTCCTGTTCCGGAGCTGTCCTAACTTTAGCAGCTTCATTAGCTGTGTTTCTATCGCTGGGAAAAAAGAGGATATTCCTGGATCCTTCAGGGACTTTGTTTTGCCCCTGAGATCAGCAGGAGGTGCCCTTCTCAATCACCGTCTCTGCGGGACGGTTTAGGTCCAAATGGACCGTCCAGCGGCAGAAATATCAATTGCGATCTCGGAGCACCAAGATCCCACGTCGTGCTGTCACAACGTCAGCCCCTTTTTTCGAAAGTATATCAAGTCTTGGTGTCATCCTGAAGAAGCTAGCTTGGATCCCAAGATAAATTTATGAAAGTTTTAATTATTTCTTCAAACTATCTTTAAAGACATTGAGAAAGTTCCACTAAACAATGTAGAAGTCCTTAGAAATAAAGACAGTATGAAAATTTAGTTCCATAGTTAAGTTACCAGTAATAAACAAATAAACTTATTTAGTTACTCTTCCACAGGAGTCCTTCTCCTTTCTACATTATTCACGCAAGTCTCCCAGTTTTTTTGAGTGGCAGATGACTGCATGGCAATGAAGAAATTGGGAAATTTTCCTTTGGTGAATTTCCTTAAATTCTAATAACATTATAAATAAGATTGGCATATTAAAAATGGAAGAACCTAAAATGAAATTTTGAAATGTTCTTTAGGATGTTAATTTATGATGAAAAATTACTCCAGTTGTATGCAAGATAATCACTGACATGCGTAGCAAGTATTTAAAAGTGGAGTCATTGGTTAAGTATTTGTTATTGTTAGTCATGAAGTTGTGTCCGACCCATTGCGACCCCATGTTTTCCTCCAGGTCTTGCTGTCCTCTACCGTCCCCTGGATGGTTAAGTAGAAGCCATGCTTAAGCTGTTTTGGGACACCCATGGTCTTTTAGAACTTTCTTGTGATGGATTTTGAGATGATATTTAGCTTTTAATTGAGGATAATAACTTTTCTTTAGCATAAACAATTGATTATATAAAGTAAATCCTCAGTTTGAAATTAAATCTTAAAATCATAAAAGCAACACTTTTATTTAGTGTTTTTTTTCTGACTGGAAACCTTTGGAGGAAAATGTGTGTCTGAGTGTCAAATGGGAAAGATACAAGGATGGAATGTTCTCAACTGCCAGGAAAAGCATGATTAAATTAATCACATTGACAGTGTCTTATAATACAGTATATGGCTCAGAAATATGTTGCTGGATTCAAAAGGAATTCTTATTTTTTTTCTTAATACTTATCTTTTGTACTGTTTGAAACTAAAACAGTTGGCTTTGTACAACATTACTATTTATTCAAAATGCCAAAATTTTATACAGTTATCCCAGCACACATATTAAATAATTCATTACCAAAACCGGAAAATCATTGTACAGAGTAATCATTTCTTAATGATGTGCATTTGGGCAGATTGTATGTCTGTGTGCAGTACTTTATCTTGAATTTTATAATGGTGTTGTTCAGTACCATAATTTCTTAACATAGCATAATTTGTTTAGGGTCATATAGGTTTGGAACAGACTCTGAAACTTTCCTCAATGTTTTAAATTCCTTTATCATACCTCTCAGATATCTCAAATGGTTTGTTTCCATTTTCCCAAAGTTTGTAATATTTCTTTGTACTTCCAGATTAATGCTCAGTTTCTAAATATATCTAGTTGAGACTAAGAACTGTTCAGAGTATAAATGTGTTTACGTTTGCATTAGAAAGTTTACCCCTACATTATTTGTATTTTGCATTTAGTTTTATTAAAGTATATAATTACTGAAGTGGTGGAGGTCCCCTTATAAGTATGGTCAACTCTTAACCATCCAGCTGGCTCCCAGCTTTGAATATTTTAAAAAGTATGTCCATTCATGCAGCTGAAACCACAGACCAATTTCATGACAAACTCAAATACTCCCTTCAATCTGGCTTCAACTCTTAAACATTTTCCTCATTTTCATTTTTTGAAACCCAGCAGCTAAGTGATTGGGATGGCATAGCATTTTTTCCCCAGAGTTGTGTAATAATAAATGGAGCAGAAATTTTATGTAGAGGGGAGCAATTTATCCCAGGGTGAGACAAATTATTCACCTCATATTTCTGCCTTTCAATTCAAGGTTGATTTGTTTATTTATATAATTTTTATAGCCACCTATTTCACAACAGTAATTTTAGATGATGAGCGCGGGTTTAAGAAGAACAGCAATATGTTTATATTTGTAAATATAAGCATTCCAAAACTATAAAATGAAATACATTCATGATTTCTTTAAAAAAAACTGCACTTCCAATAAGTCAAAGAAGAGTTAAAAAAAAAAACCAACACTTGTCCTACCTGTGGACTTTTATGCCTGAGGAAATAGCCAGTTCCTTAATGCCAGGTGAGAGAAGGCCATCCAGAGTTCCAGGAAGCTGCTGGTCCATTGGGCAGGCAGAGTGGCAGTGAGGTGCAACTCCTAGGCATCATGAGATAAGACTGCCTAAGAATGTTCTAGTGGAACGAGCAGAGTACATGTAAACTCGGGCATGTAGGAATTTATAGAGGATAATTAGCATGTTAAATTGCATTCAGAAATCTTCTGGAAGGCAGTGCAGCTTGTTGCGCAGAGGTGTTACATCACAGTATCAAGGAGAGCCATAATAATGCCATTGCATTCAGTTGCAGTTTTTGAAAGCTTTTGAAAACCACGTTTCTGTACTGCACAGCAATCCAACCAGGGAGTGACTAGGGTGTGCATGACAGTGAATATGACCTCCTGATCCAGAAGCAGGTGATGCGCAAGGTGAACCTGTGCAGAGCCCTTCCTAGGCGTGGCTACCACTTGCCCTTTGAGTGGGTCCAGAAGGACCCAAAGAATATGAGTCTTAGGTGAAGTCACAGAACAGCCAATACTGCACAAAAACGTCATGTGATTTGTTTGATTTGGCCTAGCATGCTGCCTAAACTCAATTATTGTCTCTTGTACACCACTATTTATGCATGCAGCTGTAGCATCCTTTTTGTGGCCTCAGATTTTCTCTGGAATGACTGGAATCAAAATCTGTGGACATTTTAGTATTGGGGAGTTGTTCAAGAGTTTTAAGAGTTTTAATAAAAAAATCTGACCTGTCTTTCCTTATATGCAACATTAGAAAAGGACTTCTCACACAAATGTACTGACAAAAATCCATTTTCATTGAAGCAGTTAAAATATGCCAATGGTAGTTTTAAATGAGACTAGATGGAAATGTTGACTACATTAAAAAATCCAGTATCTGTCCAAGAGGATATAACCATCATGAATGGGTACAGACTGTTGAAATAGCACAGCTGTATGGACTCTTCTTTTCTATAGATAGATGCAATGATCAAGACACCAAGAGATCTTATCGAATTGGAGATACCTGGAGCAAGAAGGATAACAGAGGAAATCTCCTTCAGTGCATCTGCACAGGGAATGGCAGAGGGGAATGGAAATGTGAAAGGCATTCCTCTTTACAAGCCACAGGCATCGGTAAGCAGGAGATCTGGACGTTTATTCCTTCTTTATTTGCCTTTATAAAAAATTACCCTGGGAAATCATACATTCAAAGTGAAATTCAAAATATTCAAATTGTGTTATAATCTGAAATAACTCAAGGTAATCTAGAAAACAACTACAAAGCCAATTTATAATTTTAAAAATGCCAACTAATGAAGTCTGGCAAAACCCCACAAAGCCTCTTCCTATTTGGCAGGCTTGACTTTGGAGTGATGAGAGCTTAATCAAAGACTGAAAGTTCAGATTCAGCTACCCACAGAATGGAATGTGCTAGTTAAGTTATCAATAATAGGGGAAGCATTTTGGCAACAGTGTGGAATTTGTTTTGATGAACTGCAGAATAGATAAATGATCATTAATATAATCCAGTAGAACAGTTTAATGGGCTTTTCAGTGAAAAAGAATGTTCAAATGTTCAAATGTATTTTAAATCCAAAGGTTGCCCTCTGATTTTAAAAAAAAATCTCTTCCTAGAAATCGGCTACAGGGAAAAAGACTTTTTCTTAATATAGTTACAGGAGGGCAGATTCCAGTAGAACATTCTGAAAAATATGCTAACTATAAAAGTAATTTGGTAGTGGAACCAGTTGCTGATGGAGACCCGGAACGCCTTTCTCCCTTTGCTACCTGTGTATAAGCGGAGGCTGGATCTTCCAGGGGATATGTAAAATTGGACTCTTTCACTGTGCAACGGGTTGGAAGATAAACTAACTGGCGCTTATTAACATGAGTGTAAATGATAATCCGAGAGCAAACTGATCAAAAGTATTGTTGCATTCCCAGTAGAAATTCAGCTTTGCTAGGATGTTGAGAGGACAATTTGGATGACACATTTGGTTCCAGTCAAAATGGTAAAAACAGTATTAATGTTGGAAATTTCACATTACGGTAATTTAACCACAAGAGATTGCATGATTCAGGTGACTATCAAGATTATGCCTGTCCATTCATCCATAGTATTATATAGCTGCCCATTTCAAATTCATGATTGGATGGCTATCAGTGATTAAAAACAGGGTAAAAGTAATGGTAACCAACCTTAATCAAGGTGTGTGTGTGTGTGTGTGTGTGTGTGTGTGTGTGTGTTAATGACTTGCAAAACACCATTGCTTTTTTATATGCAGGCAGCGCATCTGCAACTATCACAGATGTACGGACTGCACTCTACCAACCGCAGCCCCAGCCGGCTCCTTCTGGACATTGTGCAACTGACAGTGGCATGATGTATATTTTGGGAATGCAGTGGCTTAAGACACAGGGAAGCCAGCATATGCTATGTACTTGTCTGGGCAATGGAATCAGCTGCCAGGAAACAGGTAGAACATAGATTTCAATATTTATTGGCATATAGAAGATATTTCAGTCATTTACCCTATGATAATGCATGTTCCTGATGGGCGTAAGCTGGATTGAAGGTCACTAATGTAAAAAACAAGTGATTAGCATCATGTGATGAGTCTGGCCTTCATACAATTAAGCCTATAAAAGCATGATCTCAATGGATTTGATGTGAAGATAGTTTAGTGTGGTTGGTTTTGGATACTGTTACCTTCCTCCCTTCAAAACCAACCAGAACTGTGACTTTTTCTTATTTACAAACCCCCTCTGAAGCTAAACCCACATCCATATACAAAGAGGGAGTGAAATTTTGAAATTCTTTTTGGACTGCAACAGACTTTGATAGCATTTCCACTGTATTTTATTTTTGTGCAATGAAATTATCATACAAATAATGTAAATTGATGCAAGTAATATAATTTCCCACCTAATGAGAAGGAAGGACTCACTGGAGAAGAGCCTAATGCTGGGAATGATTGAGGGCAAAAGAAGAAGGGGACGACAGAGAATGAGGTGGCCGGATGGAGTCACTGAAGCAGTCAGTTTTAGCTTAAATGGACTCCTGAGAATGGTAGAGGACAGGAAGGCCTAGAGAATGTTGTCCATGAGGTCGTGATGGATCGGATACGACTTCGTGACTAACAACAACAATATAATTTGAATCATTTGTGTAATGACATTATTCAATGTATGTCAGTTACTGAAATGACATACTTCAAGACAGGGACCACAATCCCATTGATTTGAAAAACTGAAGTTTCACTATAATAGGTATTTTTATATAAATGCTAAATATTAAATATTTTTCTGAAACCAAATAACAAAATTCTCATATAGTTATAATGGTCTTCTATGTTTTAAAGCTGTGACCCAAACGTACGGTGGCAATTCCAATGGAGAGCCTTGCGTTTTCCCATTCACCTATCATGGAAAGACTTTCTATTCGTGCACTTCCGAAGGACGTCAGGATGGGAATCTCTGGTGCAGTACAACCTCCAACTTCGACCAGGATAAGAGCTACGCTTTTTGTACAGAGCAAAATGGTAAACTTTTTCAAGAAAAAAAATAGGTTGCAAATTTCAGCAGGGAAAGTGGGAAAGTGATGGACGTACAGAATATATTAATAATAACTTAGCATTCTTTCACTGAGGATGAATAACATGCTTTTTTAAAAAGGCTGGGCTGGGAATAGAAGGAGGTGGATCTTCACTGGATAAAGGATACAAGGAAAGTCTTGAGAACTAGGGAAGTATAAGAGGGAATGCAGAAGTCAAGCATAAGTCTATCAGAAAGGCTATTCAGTGCAATACATGAAATTGGTTTAGCATAAGAAAGCTAGGTTTATATCAAGAGGTCCCCACAGCTTAACTAGATAGCAATGGATAGTATTTCTCTGGAGATGTCTTATCAGCTAAAATGAAAAGCAGTAGTATCGTATACCAGCTTGCAAGCTTCTCCTGTGCGCTGCTTGGAGAGTCCAAGCATGGTTAAATACAGTTTTTCTCCAGCTGATGGCGCAGGAAGGTCCAGGAATGGGTTGTTCAATCCTTATTTGCCCAAGAGACTGAGTCAGAATTGAAGCCACGCCTCCAGCTTTCCCTGCTGATATCCCAATTCCGACTCAGGCTTGTCCGAAAAGAGATGTCAATTTTTTTTGCTCTGAGTGAAAATTGGTTTCTTCCTTAGAATAGTTTGCTTTACAGTATTTTTTCTTTATTTTTCTCGCTTGTCTTTAATGTTACTATCGGATGGAAGGTGTTTGAACTTGGCTCATAAGTTCTTTCCCACCTGGTTGTTGTTAGAATTGTGTGGGCTGGATCCTCCTGGAGATTTCAAGGTTCCTCGCAGACCAGCAGCTGGCTGTGCTGGCTATCGGAGTCTATTGCGGCTCCTTTTGACTTGATTCTGATTGCTGGCTTGTGAGCAGGCCAGGGAGACTTCCCTGCATTGCCGCTGGTTCTCAGGGGCTGCAGCGGGTGGACATTGAGGCTGCTGGTGTGGGCAGCACGTGTGTGGCGCACCAGCGCTCCCATGTAGTTGCAAATAGTCCGGGATGACAGGAAGGCACGATCAGCACTGGCTAAACTTGCAGAGAGCTGCGCGGCCATTTGCTCACTGGCACCATTTGTTTCCCCAGAAGCTTCTCCCTCGTGAGTATGGGGCCCTGGGGGCAGCCATTTTGGGACAGCT